TTAAGGACTAATAGCGTAATAAAAAAAAATCCAAGGACTAAATAACATCACATGAGTCAACAAAACCCAAGAACCGATACAAATGAGCTCCAATTCCAGACAAATTTTGTGACTTGATTCTTAGATTAATGAACTGGAATTGGAGCTCATTTGTATCGGTTCTTGGGTTTTGTTGACTCATGTGATGTTATTTAGTCCTTGGATTTTTTCTTTATTACGCTATTAGTCCTTAAATTTAATACCTAGTATTATAATGGCATTTGACATTTTTTGGCCTTTTTTTATACAATTGTGGCCAGACACGTGACTGTCATATGGCTTTTTTGGGTAACAATTTGGGAAAAAATAGTCAAGGGTACTTAATGTGCTCAAAATTTGAAAGTTCGGGTACCAAATTTGTTTTCATCCAAAATTTGGGGACTAAAACCGCTAGTGCGTCAAAGTTTAGGTACCAAAACTGCATTTTTTGCCTTTTTTAATTCCATTTTGGCCGGACACGTGACCGTCACATGGCTTTTTCCGGTAACAATTTGGAAAAAAATCGTCAAGGGTACTTAATGTGCTCAAAATTGAAAGTTTGGGTACCAAATTTGTTTTCATCCAAAATTTGGGGACTAAAACCGCTCGTGCGTCAAAATTTAGGTACCAAAACTGCATTTTTCTCAAAAAAAAAAAAGATCCAAATTTCTTCTTGTATATTATTTTTCACACCATGTGTGGAGCCTACAAAAATTTGTTTTATAATTACACGTTATTGAAAATGAATTACACCGCATATACATACAAAGTTACATATTGTGCATTTGTACAAAACTGCTTCGAACAGTTTTCTGATGAGTGTTCGGGCCTCTTGTCCATGCAAAACTGTGCAATCAAAGCAAGACCTAATTCATTGTCACAAGTTCACTGATGCTATAATTGCATCCCACTAAAACAATAAATCCGTGTGTTTTTTATTTACTGGACTAGCTTCTTTGTGTTGCTAGGAGCCAAAAGCTCAGTTGATTTTCTAGTTGAAATTCAGCAACACTAAATGTCTAAAGCATTGGCCGTTTTAGGCACAGTCCCCACAACAATTATACGCAAAGTTTGCATATGTTTAACATGTATATGCTACTGCGTGGACTTCTTATGCTAAGCCAATTTCAGAGCCAATAATTTTGTGGTATGGTGACAAGTTATAGTTTGTTCTCCCGCTTTCTCTTTCCTTTTTTTTTAAAAAATTTTTTCTGACAGAAAAAGGGTGGAATTTTTCCATAGATTAACCACACTTCTTTTGATGCCTTAGGGCTTCTTTCAATTTAAAAATTATTGTTCTGGCGTTAGATAAAGCTGTAGAGATCATGCATCAAAAACTGTACTTTTCTCAGTTAATTATTTTAGTTAATTGTAAATTCTGATTTTAGATAATCATTTTTTTTATATTATCATTTGTTTTTGAGTAATAATTAACAAAAACTAAAATTTAAAATCAGTAATTTTTGTTACTATTCTCAGTTCTTATAATTTGGGCTGATTTGGATCATTGATCTGAAATTTATTTGATCCTAGCCGTTAAATGTTCTTCAATCCAACAAATTTAACTTTTGGGTATGTGGAAGATGATGGGCCTCATTGGACACGCAATTACTGGCTGATGCCCTAAAATAGAAGGTGAAAGGTCAAGCGTAAGGTCCAAAAGTCTCCCCAATTCTGAGGGATTGGAAGTTGTTCGGAGCCACAGCGCTCCCTTTGTGTGAAATGGGCGTTCGAAAACAACAAACGGCTAGAATATCGTTCATGAGCTGTTCAATTCAAATTATTTGTAGCTTTCAATCGAATTTCTAGAAACATTTATGGTTAAATTTAGAAAATATCTCATTTATGGTGTTTTATTTTGAATTATTTTTTAGTGTCAGGATGACCAAAGATTTTTATTTCTTTTTTTTTTGTTTATGCATCTTCCAGTCATTGACCATTTGCCACATCCAAGAGTGGATGCTGCAACCCCAAGGAATTTTTTTCGTGTTAAACCAATGTGAATCGATACAAACGAGAAAATGAACTTAGCCGTTGATCAAACGTTGATATAGCATCTTGATCTTTTCAGACCATCAGCCCGATATTGTTCAATTTTTAAAGGTGGGGTTATTCTGTTTGTGTGTAATTGTTACGATGTTATTTGCATTTTGAAGTATCTTCCATGTACTTCTTGTTTCCAGATGTTTATGTCTTGCTCAATGTATTTTTATTGTTTTACGATTTGGAGATGATATATAATTTCACAGTCGCCTGTGGAATTGTATGAAAAGAAATTATTTTTTTTCCTCTCCTTTTAGAACAAAAAAAATTTTGCAATCCAAATAATTCTAATAGCATCTAAGCATCTATATTAAAAGAATAGCTTTGGAAACTTTGAACACCAAATTAACAATGCTTCTCTTTTTTTAATATCACTAACAAAAAAAATGTATATTTTCATATAAAAAAATCTAGCTACTAAAAGAAAAACTTAGCCGTATGAACATTTTCAAAGAGAAACTGACAATATCCAGTCATTTTTAGACTTTTAAAAATATTTTCACATTTTAATTTTTTAATAACAAATTTTGTTTGTTTTTTCCCATTATTAAGTCAAATTAGCAAGATATCTTTCTCAATCTAAAAAAAAGTGTAATTATAGAATGAAATTATCTAGGACCATATATATGAAAATATTTTTTTTATTATTATGTTAGGAATAATAATTTTGAAATATTAATTATCTTGGATGTTATCAAATATTGGAGTTCACTAATGATTTTAGTAATAAACTGTTGGTTTTTTGGGGCATAAACTAAAAAACAATACCTTAGTGTTGCAAAAAAAGTTTATAAGAGACTTGTATTGAAGTTGGAAAATGAGTTCAATTTCTTCATTCATCAACACCCTATTTATAGTGTTTACAAAGAAACAAACTAAAACAATTTCAGCTAACAATTCTCTAGAAAATCTCAACAAAAACTACTTGATAACATGATAGCAAATCTTAGCTAAAATATTTGTTAACAAACCAATATGATTTTGGTTAACAAATATCCTAACAATAAGACTTATTGTTCTACCAACTAAATTATTCTGATATCAAACTTAATCTGATAAAATCTATAGGAAAAGTTGACATATCTCAACACAAACAAATAAGTTGATAAAAAATGATGTTAGGGGATAAAGCGCAAAACATGCTATAGTCTAAGGTGATTTGTTGTAATTAGCTCTTAGGGGTATTAATATCCTTTTAACATCATCGTTATACAATTTTAAAGATGACTAACTATTTAGGGGACAAAATGAGAAAAAAAATAATTATAGGGCAGAAAGTGCAAAAGTGACTATACTTTAGGGGGAGTTTTTGTGATTAACCCTTAGCACTATAACTAGCTGCCAAAAGCACCTATATGGGCGTACCACCGCAGTCTCTGTGTTTATTTGTCTTCCCTGCGAATGTATATGGAGTACTAATTATGACAAAAAACCAAAGTATATGAATATGCTTATATTATACTCCCTCCCTTTTTTTATAACAGACGTTTAAGGTTTTGCACACCAATTAAGAAAAGTTTTTCATTGCTTAAATCTGTACACTACTTTCCTTTTGTACCCTCATTAATTGTCCAATTCACCTATATTTTCTCTCACTAGAGTACTAAATGGTGCTGTTTTACTAGGCCAAAAGCAATGCAATAATTACTAGGAGTAGTAATTAAGAACCCTGTATTGGAAAAGAGAGATAAAAGGATAAAATTGTGAAAAAATAATTAATACTGTATGGGGATAATAAAACGACAGATAAAAGTACACTAGAGCAAATTTCTTAAACGTCAGTTATAAAAAAAAGGGAGGGTGTACTAATTATGACAAAAAACCAGAGATTAGATAACCAAAAACAGATAACTTGAACACAAGCCACTTTTGGACAAGCCTGTCGTGCATCCACTTTTGGAAACTTTGGAAATGCATTAATTTTTTTTTTCTTTTCGGTCCTTTTTAGTACTTCTAACGCGGCAAAAAGAAATTGAAAGTAAAATACAGTTTCACGGTCGCCGCATTTTGAAAATGCAGCAATCGTAAGTGAGGAAAACTATTCCGAAGGACACCATAATTGAGATATTTATGTGAATTTAACAATATTCGTAGAAATTGCCCTAGCTTTTGCCATAAAAAATAGAAAAGAAAAAAAGATAGGTTGGTTGCTTTCAATTGAAATATCAAAATTCTACAGTAATGTTGGTGGTTAGGGGTGGGCTTTTAGAATTTTGCTCACTGTCAATTAAATTCTGATAATTGAAAATGAAAAGGATGTAGAGAGGTGGACACATAATGCACGAATCCTATGTTTGGCATTTGAAAGTGGAAAGGATGTGGAGAGGTGGATACGGAAGAGTGATAAATTTTAAAGTTAATGTGATAAATTTTATTATACCACTTCTAGGGCTAGACACGTATCGCACAAATGACATATTTTTTTTAGGGTTATCTTTTAATGCAAAAGTGATAACTTTTATTATACCACTTCTAGGGTATACACGCAATGCACAATAGAATTTTTTTAGGGTTGCCTCTTAATGCAAAAGTGATAAATTTTATTATACCACTTCTCTTTCATAAGAGCCGTGTTTAGATTTTTTTTTTCCCTATTTTCTCTGGGAACAATTGACAACATCATGTAGCTCATGCTAATTTCTACACCGCAAAAAAATGATATTTCGAAAAATCATTCATCTTATGCAACTTAATCTTACGTGGCACTACTACATTTAGAATCCTTGCTCTAACCAATTTCTCAAAAAAAAAAAAAAAAAAACACGCACACACACACACACAAAAGCGACATAATGAATACTTCGTAATAGTCCAAAATACTTGTCGATTTTTTTAACCAATGCTCTCAGAGCAGCAGCAGATCGCTCTCCTCAGCACTCCATTTTTATTTTTATTTTTTTTTAAACGGCATTAAGGTGGTGCTAAGGTAGTATAGTTGAGCACTGTGGTTAGCACTTCAGCTATCATCACTTGCTAAACTCATAAGCAACGATCTTCGTCTTACCAAAAATAATAATAATAATAAGCAACGATCTTCGCTGATTGATTCAATCCTAAAACCATAAAATTAACTTAATTATTGAGATCAATAACAAAAGGAAAAGCAGATACCAAAATGGCAAAAAATGAGATGAATGAGGCGGTGCAAGTTTTCTGCGTCGGAACTGCTGATACGAAGCTTGAAGAGCTCCGATTTCTATCCCAATCCGTTCAATCAAATCTCAGCAACTTCTCCACTAATTCTTCCACTAAGGTACTGCATTATATTCTTCAATTTTCTAATAGAAAATGTTTCAATTTTGTTCTTTTCTATTTTTTAGCCTAATAGTTTTTGCTGCTGATCACTGAGTAGAAAAGAATCTTGAACGCTAATCTGAAGCGGGATTTTGCATGGTTGGTTTGATTAAACGCTGTTATGGAGTAGCTTTTATGGTTGCTGTTCACTCCTCTGCTTGTAATGGTGAAGCTTTAGTTCTATCGTTGCTAGTTCTTGCTAAGGCAGGGGCGGAAGTTTTACATTTATGTTATTCACAATCAATTTCTTGTGTCAAAATAGTATCCGGTCGGTGCTATGCGCTTCCCATGTTATGCATTGCTGCTTTTTGGACCATTTTGAAATGGCAAATGATGGTACCAAAAGTGCTGATGGGGAAATGTAGGTCTGTAGCATAAGCTTTTATAGTTCTGTTTGTATATCCCTTCTATGATCAGACTCTGCTGAGATTCAGAAAGGGAATTTAGAGAGTGGAAATTGTCAGGATAGGCACACAGCACAAGTGGAGATTAAGTTAATTAAGTGCAACTCGTTGTTGGGTATTTATAGTAGAATCCAAGATCAAATGCACACTTAACCTTAAGATCTTAGTATAATTGCAAGGTCCACCACTGTCCTTATAGGTAATATAGGCTAGATGCCCTTTCTTTTACAAACTCGTCCTAATGTTATTAACACATAATCCTGACAAATAAAATTTATAGCTTTTCCGGATTTATGTCTTGTCTTTGTGGCCATTACGTGTTCTTAGTTACTTCAAGAACCCATAAGTTTCTAAGATGCTAAAACAATTTAACTTTGATTGTCATATTTCCTTAAGTCGAGGAAAAAACCGAGGCAAGAAAGATATCGGGATTTTTGGTGGTTTCAGTACAGTTAAATGCATGACAACTTCCAATGCTGTTTATTTTTCAGCATTGCTTCACACTATAAAAAGTTATGAAGATGTGCAGGTACAAGTTACAGTTGTAGATGTTTCTGCGGGTGAGAAGGAGGTACAGAGCTGTGGTGACTTCACGTTTGTATCAAGGGAGGATGTCTTTTCTGCTTCAGGGGAACCAAGCCCAGTCCAGCTTCCTGATGATAGAGGCAAAGCTGTTGCAGTGATTTGTAAAGCACTTGAAAATTTTCTCAGAAAAGCTCATAGGGGTCGAGTCCTTGCTGGAGTTGTAGGGCTGGGAGGTAGTGGAGGGACATCTCTGCTATCATCTGCCTTTCGATCTCTTCCCATTGGGATCCCCAAGTTACTTGTATCTACTGTTGCCAGTGGTCAAACGGAACCTTATATTGGAACATCAGATTTATTGTTGTTTCCTTCAGTGGTGGATATTTGTGGCATTAACAATGTGAGCAGGGTTGTGCTATCAAATGCTGGTGCAGCTTTTGCTGGGATGGTCGCTGGAAGGCTTGAAAAGTCTAAAGAAACCCGCAATGGCAGTGAAAAATTTACAGTGGGTTTGACAATGTTTGGAGTCACCACACCATGTGTTAATGCTGTCAAGGAAAGACTGCTTAAAGAAGGTTATGAGACCTTGGTTTTTCACGCCACAGGTGTAGGAGGCAGGGCTATGGAGGATCTTGTTAGACAAGGACTTATACAGGTAGCTATGCGTGTTATCTGTACAAGCATTAAAACTCTTACAGATTAACTTGTACAATTTTCTATTTGGAGTATTGGAACTTGGATCTATGAAATGGGCAGAAGTGGTAGAGGGAAAGTGTTATTATTTAAAGAGATGAAAATATAAGGTTGAAGGTCGAATATGGGAATTTAAAGAGACTACTTAGCTTGAATTATAATGAAATTAAGTCCTTCAAGAATTAGTTCCTACTCACACTCAGCCTCTTTGTCTAGGATGGGGTGCTTTGACATCAAAACAACTGCAAGACGGTGGAATGATAATAAGTTTAAGATGAAAGATAAAAACTTGAACAGATTAATTGATGATTAGCAACAAATTGTCATTTGTCATTTTTATTTGCTGGATGATTTATCGACACTCAACATTTGTATTGTTGTTGTACATAGGGTGTTTTAGACATCACAACCACTGAAGTTGCAGATTATGTTGTTGGAGGTGTTATGGCATGTGATAGTTCCCGGTTTGATGCCTTAATAGAGAAAAATATACCTTTGGTGCTGAGTGTGGGAGCCTTGGATATGGTTAATTTTGGAGGCCAAGATACCATACCTTCTCAATTTCATCATCGGAAGATTCATGAACACAATCAGCAGGTAAAAAATTTAATTAACTTTGTCTACTTACATTTTACCTGGAGTCAGTTACGTTTTAGTACTCAAGTATACATGGTAATGACTACTGTATCAAATATCTATTTGATCAGATGAAAAGTTCAATGCTCTGAATTCTATGCTTTAGCCTACCACAGGAGTAAATTGATGGAAAAGAAAGAAAAAATAGCACTTCTGTAGTTGTTCTACTGAGATATTGCTGTAACAGTTATATAGTTCTTTGGTAAGAATGAAACATATTCTTGGCTGGTGTAGAGTAAAAGAAGAGAAAAATTTGATCATTCTGATTATTAACCTTCAGGATATTGGACATGTGTTGATAATATTTATGAATTTTCAAGGTTTCTTTGATGCGGACTACAGTGGATGAGAATAAAAAGTTTGCTGAATTTATAGCAGAGAAGTTAAACAAGTCAAACTCAAAACTCTGTATCTGCTTGCCAGAGAAAGGGATATCTGCTTTGGATGCACCTGGTAAGGCCTTTTATGATCCTGAGGTTACTGGAACTCTGATAAAGGAAGTACAGAAGCTGATTCAGACAAATGAAGACCGTCAGGTAACCGCATTGCTTACAAGATAGATTTATGAGTTTTTTTACATTATTCATTTGCCCCATGGAGTTTCCTACTAAAAGATTCTGTTCATCTCTGGAAGATAATATATTTGTCTATTGATAGGTCAAGGTTTTCCCTCATCACATTAATGATATTGAGTTTGCAAACGCCTTGGCTGACTTGTTCATAGAGATCTGTCATAATTCTAAAGATGGTGGTGAGAGTGTTTATGAATCTATGAAAGATATCCAAGAAGATCATCCTGTTTCTGAAGTAAAACCCACAAAAGGAACTATTTCTTACTGCCTGAGCAACTTCCCAAATGCAAAACCAGGTTTTTTTTTCCCCTCGATGTTATTTTTCTGAGCTTCTTCTGTAAATGTCTTAGGTTGTGTTGTATCGTGAAACTGGTTAGGCTGATTTTCATTTAAGAATGTCTTGTAACTCGTCTAAACAGACATAGTAGTCTTCATGGTCATTTCATGGAAAAACCTGTTTAGAGGAAGCACAAATTTACTTTCTTTTCTTCATTACTATCATGTTTACTAGGTTCCTGATTCGCATGCTATTAGCTATTAAGAGCTTGTTGAAGATGTTTGGTGACTGATAGTTTCCAGTCCTTGGGTCAACCTGTCAATTACCTCCGTGCATCTGTCAATCTTACTTTGTCACAAGTCTAGTTGAATACTGCTTGTTATTTGAAAGAAGTGTTTGATACAGATTTGCCTCGATGCTTAAGGCAGCATGTGGTTTATGAGACAACCATAAGTTTCTGAATTTGTGCTTTGCAGAATTCTGCTCGAATGAATAGTCCATGGGAGGTTTTTTTCATTTCTATTTTATCTTCTTACATGGGGAGGGGGCTGGGGGAAATGGTGGAAGTAATCAATTCATTGCTGTAACTGCCTTTATTGTTGTGCATTGAGGCTTACTGTTGCAGATGTAATATGCTCTAGGAGCTTAGTAGTTTCTTCAAATTCACCAATATATGCAGGAGGAGGGATTATGTTTATTTCTAATATCTAGCTGAAGTCCTAATGAAAATTTTATTCCTTTCAACAGAAACTTTGGAGAGAACGCATGCCGTGCTGCAGAATTTGAAAGATCAAATAAGGATGGGTAAACCCATTATTGGGGCTGGTGCAGGGACAGGGATATCAGCAAAATTTGAAGAAGCAGGTGGCGTGGATCTAATAGTTTTATACAACTCAGGGCGCTTTCGGATGGCAGGAAGGGGCTCCTTGGCAGGATTGTTGCCTTTTGCTGATGCAAATGCAGTAGTAGTTGAGATGGCCAATGAAGTGTTGCCTGTAAGAATTTTTTTCTTCCAGACGGAAAAGAGTTTATGGGGTGAAAGAAGAGTATATGTACATGTTAAATCTGGCAAATACTCTAGTAATATGCTTGAATTTTTTCAGTACTGCACCTTCATGGTTTAATTCCTTTTGTAACTATAGTAGGATGCCTCCATTGTATACGGGGTAAGCATTACCATTGATCACCTTGTGCTGCTCGATTTATACTCATGTTGAACGTCCAGGTAGTTAAGAAGGTTCCTGTTCTGGCTGGTGTCTGTGCAACTGATCCATTTCGCTGCATTGACTATTTCCTGAAGCAGTTGGAGTCCATAGGTTTCTGTGGAGTGCAAAATTTTCCTACTGTTGGGCTTTTTGATGGTAATTTTAGACAAAATCTAGAAGAGACTGGAATGGGATATGGGTATGTCTTAATTTAGTGACATACATGTGGGCTTTTTTCTAACATTCTTTGCAATCATAAATGGAATGAACAATCACCATAGTCGTTATACAGATTGGAGGTTGAAATGGTTGCGAAAGCTCATGAAATGGGCCTCTTAACTACCCCTTATGCCTTCAACATAGAAGAAGCAGTGGCAATGGCAAAAGCTGGTGCTGACGTTGTAGTGGCTCATATGGGGCTCACAACCTCAGGATCAATTGGTGCAAAAACGGCTCTCTCATTGGATGAAAGTGCTGTTCGTGTTCAAGCTATTGCTGTGGCTGTTCATTCTGTCAATAGTGATGTTATTGTGCTCTGCCATGGAGGTACCATCTGAGAAACCTTTGCTTGCTACAAATGTTTTCAACCAATAATGTACTGAACCCAAAAGTTCAAACAATGGTGGGATATTTTCTATAACAACATTTTACCAATTCAGAATGAGATATGTTGCTTGAACTGGAGAGCAACAATAATAACTACTAACTCTAACAGCTTGTAGAGCTCATTGGTCATTTGGGTCATTGGATCAAACTGGTTAGTCCACCTGTATTGGGTTTCTGTGTTTGGTCAGGAGGTCATTCTAGAATATGACGCGTTGCTAGACGGATGACTGCCACCATAAAAGGACCAAATAGAGACATCATCACTTGAAGGCAGAGTCTATTATTATTTTGAAGCTTGAATTTTTAACGTGTTTGCTAGGTACATTTGGTATATTTTTCTGGAATCTGCTTAGCCGTCTGTTCAGATTGCTGTGTTTAGTTGGACTTGGCTTCCACCAACTATTGTCATGTCTCATAGATGTCACTTCTTTAAAACTAAATTTCAAGAAGCTACTTGTTAGATATGTTTCATGGTATCAGCATAGGAAAGAAAAAACAGTACATTATTCTTAAGTGTTGAATGAATTCACTTCGTTTTCACATTTATTGACTGCTGTGCAACTTTCAGGTCCTATATCCAGCCCTGAAGAAGCCAAATATGTACTAAAGAATACAAAAGGCGTTCATGGATTCTATGGGGCATCAAGTTTGGAAAGGCTACCAGTAGAGCAAGCTATAACAGCCACCGTACAGGAGTACAAATCAATTTCTATGAAGTAAACGTGACATTCTTGGATGCCTTTGGGAGCTAGATCCTTTTTGTGTGTTTGTTTACTTTTCGATTCATTATCATCTTTTTCTGACATGTACTTTGTTAAAAAAAAAAAAGATATATAAATATTCAAAGATTTCAGATCAACATTATGCACTTATGGATGAGAATAAAATTTGAAATGACATTATTGTCATACAGAAGATTTAGCTCTTTCTCTTATAATGGCCGAATATGGTTAGTATTCCTTTTGTGTATGACTGGAATACTTGAAATTCATGGTTTATGTATTACGATGGATCACATAAATGATGACTGGATGACATCATTTCTTTTTGTTGCCTCTACTAATTTCCTGTGAAATTTAGAATCTTCTTTTTCAGGGAATTTGAAACATAAGAACTGGATTACAACAAGAAATTGATGATACTTGGTACATAGTCTTAAACCATGCATCTACATTAATCACCGTAGTGCACAAGTCATCTGCTTCAGGGTATTTAGTTGTGTTCATTCTTCAGGGCCGTTAAGGTTATTGGACATCCACTTCTCAATCTTGGTATGTGTGCTTTTCCTTCTAGATGAGGGTCTAGGTCATCAACAGTCCACCTGTACAATGAAAGATGGAAACTCATTCAAAGTAGGAAACTGTATCCCGTTAAAAAGAGGAACAGAAGTCAGAGAAGCTAAAGGCTAGTAGCTCACATGTATCCAGTAGTTAGTCGGTGTAAAAAAACCAACATTGTAAGTTTTGCCATATTGATTCCCAAGCATGTCCTTGGTCCTGACCCGAATGGTATGTAACTGTATGGCTTTTGCATTTCCTAATGATATGAAATACATGATGAATTTATAATGTTCCTTTTTGGAAAGTGAGGATGATTAAATGAAGAATGAGCAGGAAACTTGTTACATCAAATCTTGAAGGGTTGAAGAGCATAGGATCCTTGTATATTTCTGGGTCTTGATGTATACAGGTTGCATCAACATTGACATGCCATCCTTTCTTTATCTCGAAACCTGCATCAGGACATGGATAAGTATGCTTGTTGATTTATTTAATAAATACAATCAGGTTTTTTTTTGTTAATCTGGAGATTGAATATGCTAGGCTTATAATATTAGAATTTTGGGTTTGAACCTTTTTAGAAGAAAAGGTTTTTATGCATAGGTAACTAGTAAAGCATGAGGCAAGTTTTCTTTTGCCCTTGTTCCTTTTATTTAAGGCTTAACTTACCTTCAATTGTGCAGTTATCTAGTGTCACTCGAGGAAACCATAGGAGGACGTTTGACATTCTCAATGTCTCTTTGACAACCTAGAAACATAAAAATCAACCTTGATAAGCATAGAAATATATATAATTGGGGTTGGACAAGGGACTGTAGTTTCAATAAGGAAATTCATTGAACTTCTTTCTCCGAGTTCCTCTAACCTTTGAGGCATATGACATGTTGTTCAGATCTTCAAGGGTCAGGAGGGCTCCATTTGGCTTGTTTCTGAGTATGGACAATTGTTCTTCCTGTAAATCCATCAAAAGAGAAAGAATCATAGTATGTCTGCAATGATCTTCAATGAAAGGATGTGACATATATATATATATATATATATATATATATATATAAAACAAAAGCACACACAAGCACAGAGATATTGATTTTGTTTGGATAGGAGGTTATTTGAAATATTTATTTGAGATAATTACTGTAGCACTTTTTGTGATATGATGTATGTGAGATAAAAAGGTGGTTGGAAATTGTGTTTATGACGTAAGTAGAAAAAAATTTGAAATTTTGTTTGCAAATCTTCCTATCCAAACAAGCTCATTGTTTTCTGCTAGTTTTCCTCTTCCTCGAGGTTTTTGGATTCTTTTCTGTTTCCTTTCCCGGAGTGTTTCAGGTGCTTGCCAGGGGGAGGGGGAAGAAATGGTTAACAGGAATTTAGTAGCAGAATGGTGGGAGGGGAGTTTAGAGAGAGAGAGAGAGGGAGTTTGCATTTTAAAATGCAGGCATTATTTCTCACCCTGAGCCTATCCTGAACTCCTTGATGTTCATCCAAGAACTTGACACTCCACATCATTGCAGCAGCTGTAGTGGTTTGTCCAGCAATTATCAATGTCAATAGGTTATCCATGATCTCTTCATCGCTGAGTTTTTCATTATCTGGATATTGATCTCTTTGCAGCATGGACTGTAGGAAGTCTTCAGGATGTCGACTTCCTGTCCTTCGACAGGCAATCATTCCTTTGAACGTTTCCATGAGTCGACGGCGTGCCTGTGTATATTGCTTGTTCAGTTTTAATGACTTGAAAAGTTTGAAATGAACGAGCATACTTCTGTCATGTTTCAAGATATCTTTTCCCGCACTTTTGCTTTTGTTTCTGGAAAGGATTTTACTACAATTTGCTCTGTCTTGTAGCTGTCTTAATAAGCCAAATTTCTTAGGTCACATTGCTCCTAAAACATCACCAAGCAGATTTTTCTTGTTGGTCATTTGGTGATTATTGGTATGACCTATAGATTCTATATTGCAGAATAGAAGCTTACTTTGATGCCTTTGTAGTATCGAGTGCCAGGGGTCATGACAGGGAAGGATAACATGGCATCAGAAACTGCAGTGCAGTCTCTTTCAATTTGTTCGAGTAAGGAAGCATCTGTGACGCTCATGAACATGTCACACATTGCATCAAATGTCATCTGCATCAAATCTATTGAGGTTAGCCTTTGACATTGAAAACCAATACTTCTTCATTTCTTGAATTTCTAAAAAAGTTTCTTGGGCTGCCTTTTGGCTTGTGTTGTTAACATATTGAGTTGGCTTGGTCAAATGTCCCGTGTATATAAGTCCTTAAACCAAAGTTTCCTCATAATAAGAAAAAAGATTTCTAAAAGAAAGTTGGTCGAGCCTGCCATTTGTTTTAAACATTTGTTTTAATACAAATTAGAACAGTGTCTATGCAACAGATAATGGAAATGGAATTCAGTAGTACCTTCATATTGAAGTCAAGCACCACAAAACTTTGTCCATCCCTTTCTAATTTCTCCAATCTTTTACTCAGCATGCAGTCAATTTTCTGAACAAACTTGGATAAAGAATTCATAGAGAAAGGTTCAGACAGAAGACGCCTGATTCTTCTGTGACTTTCATGAGGAACACATAGCAAGCTATTCTTTCCTACTGCATCTGCCATTGATTTCACATATCCCTTGTTGAACAGTGCAAAATCATTGGCAAAGATTGTCTTGGCACCGTCAACACTTGGAACATACACATGGATCTTGCCAAATATCCTTGTTTTGAACCATTTCCCATACCTAATTTTATCAGTCAGTCAATCAGTACATATTTCATGAAGCTACTTAGCTTCTGCAGTAATTTTACCTTAATCAGAGAGTTGGTGGTAATGGATATCTCTACTGTTTTCTTTTTTTTCATTTTTATTTTTACTGTCTCTAATCTTTTCTTCTTCTTCTCCTCCTCCTATTCTTTTTTCTTCTGGTTGGCATTATACTACAATTTTCAACTGCCTTTTTACATGATTATGACATGGAAATTGCTCTTACTGCAAATGAGAGGACTACATAGGTTTGAGAAGAAAGGCAAAACATATGTACTTCATCTTAGTCAGAAATTGAAAAAGTTCAGGTATTTTGTGACTTGACACTGTATAAGATCTTGGATAAAACAGTAAACTAACTCTAGCTTTGCATCTGTTGGAGACTACACTGCACATAAAGGAGTTAAATTGAAGAGTCACAAGGATGGCTTTCCCTATATCCATCAAAGATGTATATTCTATTCTCAAAAGGAGGAGGATAACTTACCACGATCGTCGGAGTCTAACAAACTCATAGCAGCCTTTGTTGCTATTGTTAGCTGAGAGGAATGAAAGAGTCTCCCCGAGGAAGGGGATTCCCAGGCTGCCAGGGATGCCACTCTTTCCACGTTTAGTTCCCTTAGAAAGGAGAACTGTCACTCCTAAGGCGAGCACTGATGCTAGGAGAATATAATGGTAGTTGCCAAGTAGAAGGACGAGATACTCAACAGACATCTTGAGTTAATTTTGAGGAAACTGATGACAGTCGGAGTATGATTATGAACTGTTGGAACATAAATTATCACCTAGCATCAAAGGTCTAGTAGTCTGAGATGAACGAGAAATGTGAATTAAATAGGGATGTTTGGAAGCATCTTTAGCGTATGCCGGCTATAGCACTACTCCAAGATTCATGCTAGTAAAAGACAATATTCTACGTGCCTCCGTCTTTGTCCGTACTTCCTGAGACATTGTAATTTGACCCTCAACTTTGTCATATCCTTGTTAAATAACTGGATTGCCGAACCAGGGTAGTGTTTGCCAGGACGAGAAGTTTATCTGAACATTTTTAATCACACAGATGGTGACTAGCATGTTCGCAAACTCTTTTCTTTGATGATTCTTGGTACCACAACTAATACATCATGCTACTTTTCTATTGATACTAAACAATTGCGAAATCATTTTATCTCTAGTCACGTTATAAACTCTTGCGGCTTATTGTTTACCAGCACTGAGAGGAATGAAAAATACATGATACATAGTTATATATAACGTAAATGTCACAAACTGCAATTCCGGACACTGGTGTGGATTGTGGACAAGAAATCAGGCCAAATTGTTGGTTCATTATGAGGTGTCTGCCGCTGAAGGTGTTCATTGAACGCACTTTATTGCTTGTTCGGCTAGTATTTCTCGTTAACTGATATGCTACGATCCCCGGGATTGGTTTATCGATCTCATGTCTGGTGAGAAGTGACAATTAGCCATTGGAAGCAATTGGTCAAATCAAGACGAGATTTCAGCATGTCCCTCAGGCCTAGGAAGACATGCATGGCATGCAGTAGCATGTGCTTTAATCTGCATTCTCCTGTTCCCTCCTTATCCCAACCTGTTTGCGAGGATTTGAGCCATAGTCTGCGAGGCGGAGGCCGGAGTTCAACTTCCTGACCACTAGTCCCCACGGCGACATGATTCTGTAGTCAATGTAGAGAGAGTTCATCTCTAGGTATGATGGTGGTTACTCCCATCTGTCAAATAATAAGGGATGGTAGTTATTGTCCCGAGGCGTTCCATAAAAAGATTCGATTCAGGCCTAGTGCCGACTTGCCAAGGATTATAAGATGGTATCGTTGAATTAACAATGACTACTACATTTGTGAAATGATGACTTAGAGAAGAGCTCTGATATGATGTACAAGTGGAAGACGACTGTGTATCGAGCATGTCGCTATTAATTTTTGTCCCATAGCCACTCCTCAGATTCGATCTACACCAAAACCCAAAAATAAGTTTTTGACAAAAAAAAAATCCAAAAATAAGTGAAGTCTTTCCTTTTCGAAGTAGATAAACTGCTACAAATATAAGTAAGTTATATGTGAGATTGTAAGTTATTTGAGATATTTTTACTGTAGCACTTTTTGTGATGTGATGTATGTGAGATAAAAAGGTAATTGGGAAGATAAAAAGGTGTATTGGAAATTGTAATAGTGATGTAAGCAAATTTATTTGGGCAAATAACTTGCAATCCAAACACACTACTTTAGATTTCCTTTGTTTGTGCAGTATAGACTGCAGGGCCTCTCTGCCAGGGGAAAAAAGAAATATTGGTTTTGCTAATCTGGATGCATTACATTCCATGCACCTTATATTGATATTAGATGAATGATTCAAAAGTTTAAGTGTAATAGAAGTTCATCTAGCTTAATGTTACCAGATATATAGTCTAGTCGGACAATGTTATAGTGACTATAGTTATGGTAATGATATTAGGGTTACCTATTATTGCAGGTTTCTATTAACTTTAACGACACATCAAGCTTTTTAGCGTCTTTTTAAATATTGTTTTAAAATAATTAATATTAATATTAGTAAGTTTTTAATTAAAATTAGTAAGTATATGTCTGAAATAGTCAATTTTAGTCAGAAATGAAAATTTACACTTTGAGTAATGTAATTTACTTATAATTCGACAAAAGTTATTTTTGTTTAAATTAAACTTACTAATACTAAAAGTAAAAAATTTGCATCTTTAAGTAAAAGATCACCTATTTCCTGAAATGTTTTCGGGTATCACCTGTCTCTTTAAAGTCACCTGCCTTCTTCTTATTTACTTCTCAATTCTCACAATACGATTGAATTCCCGAGCAAAAGTTTCCACTTTGGTCCACACTTTCTCTTGGTTACGATTGAATAAATTTTCTCCCTCCAAAATTTTCATCTTTAGTCCACACTTTTCCTCTCGTCTTTCTCATCGATCGGTTGGTTTTGGGTGCTGCCATATGCAGACATAACAAAAGGGTTAGCAACGGTGGTAGCTAGCCAAAGAGCATATGAAAAATAGCAGTGACGATTAGACCATCATGTTCTCTTGAAATTGTTTGATTATATTGCTGTAATTTATTTATCTTTCATTTGTTTTGTTTGTCAAGATTTTCTTGCAAAATCAGGTTTGAGATTTTGAAGATTTTATTGCAATATTGGGGCTAGAAATGTTCGTTGAAACATGTAGGAAATGGTTGTAGCTTTGATTGGCTCTGGGTAAAGTAAGCTTAATAGCCATATGAAACATCTAGGAAATGACTTGAGACCCTTTATGTGAAAGTGTGTAGGCATTTAAGTTAAATGTGATTAATTTAGGAATGCATATAAGATGTTTGGTGAAATGTCAAAGAGAAATTTGTGTGTAATGATTGATGCTCTGTGCGGGTGAGAAAATGAAATGTTCTAATTGCCAAATGGTCTTGAGACCCTTTCTTTCCATTTGCTTTTTAATAGTGAAAATTTCTTTTGATTATATTGGTAAAAAAATAACATATTTTACAAATTATTCCAATTTATTTAGAAACTGTTACTAATTTCATCAGAAATTATATAATGTAAAAATGGTTTAATAATTTTTTACTAAATATAAATACTGCATATAAAAGGAAAAGATATTTTATTTTATTTTACTTTGATTAGAAAAACTTATGGTAGTAATAACAAAAATAGTCACAGTGGTGCAAATTTTGAATCAATAATTAACGTACACTTGATTACGGTAATTTTTTAACCGATTAGACTAATATATGCCATAAAGTAGTAAGATTTAATCATTTATGAATTGACAATTTAGAAGTTTATATACCATTCACCTATAAAAAATTATAATTATTATAAAATGACATTTTATAATAATTTACATACTATTTGCCAATTAAAAATAAGTTTGATAAAAAAAATATGCATACAAATCTATAATGTAAATGATACAAAATATATTTGAAAGTTATGAAACTTAATATATGGGTAAATTTAGGGTTTGTTTGGATAGGAGTTTATTTGGATGATTTATTTGAGATAATTACTATAGTACTTTTTGTGATGTGATGTATGTGAGATGAAAAGGTGATTAGGAAGATATAAAAGTGATTAAAATTTATGAAGTAAATTATTTTATTTGAAATCATTTCAATCCAAACAAACCGTATAATTTTCAAAGATTATACTACATTAATAGAACATTAACTTTTATACTTATGACTCAGAAAATAAATTTATTAAACTGTTACCATTTTATTAAATTCATAAGTATTAATCTATGGAAATTGTGATGTATAGATAAGTGCTATTTTATATATAACTCGAAATATTTGTTATTATTGTCATCCAAACTTTCTAAGCTTTAACAAATTCAAAAATAATTTAGAATTTGTAATATGGCAAATTATTCGTACATATTTTATAAGGTCATGTGAAAGAAATGGTTTTCATAGTATATTTAAAGGATTAATTTTGTCTACACTGACAATGTATACACTATCAGCGTTGGATGAATGACAACTATGCAAAATTCAAATTTAAAATTCAACTTTTGCACACATGTCATAAATCAAACGGTGATAGTATATACACTATCAGTGTATATAAGATTTACTCTTATTTAAAATACTTAAAACACATAACATTTATAAATGATACATACAATCGTGTATTATACATTTACGTTACAAGCAATTACTAACTACTCCTTCCGTCTCATATATTTGGTTGTGTTTGGGGATATGTGCTTTTTATGCACAGTACACTTCACCAAATTTTTTTTCCTTTTGTTTCACTTTTGCCCTTATGCACAGTACACTCCACTTTTGCCCATCACTGCTACTCTTATCTGCTACAAACACTTCTTCCGAAGATATCGACGTGATAAGTGACAACTGACAACTCTTTAAATCACAAGCTACTAACTTTCATTCGGCAAGAAAATTTCATCGTCTTTTACTTCTCAAAATTCTTCCATCTTTTGCTAATAAATCCTTAAAATTTTGCTCTACCTAACTTTCGACAGCAAGTTGACGCTGATGCTCAAGAAAGAGATGAAAACTCTATGGGATTCAAGTCTTCAATAAAAGTTCGTCTAATCTGCACTGCCTATATTTGGATTATGCATCTAATCAAAACATATCAAGATTGATTTTTTTTATTCCCTTGTTATGATTTGTTTTTATTCTTTCTTTTTTTGGGTTCATGTCAAGAGGGCGTTAATTCTTGTCTTGCTTAATTATAATTTCTGGTTTTTTTTGTTTTTAAGATTTGCCACCAAATTGGTCTAAAACTTTTGTAAGTTGGTGGATTTCTAAAACTTGAATTGCCTATTTTAAAAATTTGTTAACTAAGGATTACGACTATTCACTCCTAGTTCTACTCTGTATATAAATATGAGCATTATGCTCTGTTTCGTTGGTGACTTTTTAAAGAAAAATGGATATGCTTGATGACATTGAAACTTCCTGCAATCGTATAAAGAGATTAACTAATGAAGAAAGGCAATCCATTTTTGAAACTCTCTTGCAATATAGTGATTGTGAAAAATTGAGAAGAGGGACAATTATGAATGTTGCAAACTTATTCCAGATAAATGTCATAACTGTTCGCAGGATTTGGAAACAAGCGGCAGCCTCTTTTGCAAATGGAAGAGTAGTTGATGTATCTCGGAGATTTCCAAAAAGACCTGGATGGAAACAAGTGGAAATAGATTTCACCTCTATTATGACAATT